TGTTCACAGAATAGCATCTACAGATCCATTTTGATCCAGAGAAATACTGCTAAATTACTGCAAAAACTACAGCTGTGGTCATACGTTTACATGTCCCATGCAGAAGCTGCAAAATGTCAATATTAAAAAAACCCGAAAGAAAATAATTTGTAATGGGAAAGACAACACATAGTTTAAGTGTTAAAATGAGTCAGTTTATGGAGATATGGACACCTTTAATAGAACAACTGCTGTGGGGGTAATTCATTTGGATATAGAAGTCTTTTTTTCTGTACATTATCTGGCTTCAGATAGACAGCCTGGTAAATACTTAGTCTGCTAACATCTTTTTACTTAATTACTTTTTGTCTCCTTTTGTATTTTACGATCCCATCCAATGTTATTGTTCTTTATATATTGCTGTTTTTTTTCTGTTGTGTTTTGGTGAATATTTTTTTTTCCCTGTGAATATAGAAGTAAAACAAAATGTTATGTACACCATGTTAACACTGTACATGCAAGAAAGAGCTTGATAATACAAATTAAGTTGAGAAAATGAATAAGAGGGAGCATAAAAGGTATAAGTGATTCATTTATTTAAATTAACATTTTGCATATTTTGCAAGGGGTACATTATGTAAACTTAATTATGACCACAATCGTAGCTCTAAATTATAAAAGAAATAGTTAAGAACAGGGAAATTCATCATAAATTCAAATGCATTCATCATAAAAAATGGGGTTAAAAAAGTCCAAGACCCCAATTGAAAATGCTTCTGTTTTGCATTTTTCCAATTTAATGCAAATTAATGACTGGATAAACTCCACAAGTTTGTGTAAAAGCTGATGATCATGTTCTCCAACAATATTGTGCTTTAATGGAAGAACATTTTTGTTTGTACAAACTAGTTCACATTCAAACTCACACAATTGCTTATTTGATTAATGACCTAGAAATAGAGTAGAATTAAAAATATTTTGTATTATTTAAAGGGGTGGTATAATGACATTTTCACAAGACGTAAAATAAGTCTCTGATGTCCCCAGAGTGTGTATGTGAAGTTTTAGCTCAAAATACCCCACAGATATTTTTATTAGGGCTGTCAATCGATTAAAATTTTTAATCTAATTAATTACATACTCTGTAATTAATTAATCTAAATTAATCGCATACACAATCTTACAATGTTTACATGGTACAATTTCTGGTAAGCTACGTTTTTATTATTATTGCTTGACACAAATTTCACGATTTCAATTTAATTTAATTCTTGTGATTTGATGCAATATTGACTCATTTGGATAAATATTAGGTACACAAGATAGGCATTCATTTTTCTCAAGAAAAAAAAAATCTCACCCAATGCTGTAAAAATACAGAGAGCCATATCAGCTGGTAGTATTTAAGTTTAAAAATAGTTCAAATTAAATATAATGCGTGTTTATTACAAATAACTACTTTGATAACGGCTAAGTAAAAATATAATACATATGTAATATAGTAGTAGGCTACATAAATTTAGAAAAATACTCTCTATAGCTCTTTCTTATAGCCAACTATAACGTGCTATATGGTCATGAAATGGCTTTCCTGAGGTAACTTAGGCTAAATGTTATGTGACATAATTGTTCTCCAGCTGTTTTATTGACCTCTTTTCGCGGTTGAAAAACACTGATTGATCGAGGAATATACATTTCGGTAAGTTTTAGGCTGCCCTACTGTATCTTTCAACATTGGTCATTCGTGTTTATTGAGATGATCGGTACACGTGCCGCTAGGCATGGGCGTCAGTTTGGTTTGAAATGTGGGGGGGACAGAGACGCATTCGGAAGGGCATTTTCAAAAGTGCTGGGTACAATGACGCGTTCATTCTTTTTTCTCTTTCGCGCAGGTCATGGTTTGAAAGACGCCGATGTCCTGTAGCTTACTGATTTAAATAAATAAAAATGTATACAAAGATGTGATGATGTCCGACCAAAAATGTGATGGTACTTTGGGTTTAAATTTAATATTATATTAAGATCTAATATAATGTTGTTAGTATCGTGAATTTTTACGTGAATATATATATATAGATCCGCCTGCGATGCGTATGTACTGTAATGGTCCAGTGGCAGAATTTTTGCCAAGCGTGTCGGAGGTTGAGGGTTCTAATCCGCACTCGTATAGTTTTTTTCCCCACATCAAAACCGATAATTGTATATCAAGAATCTTGATATACTTTATCACTGATAAACATTATCGGTTTTGATGAGGGGGAAAAAAAACTATACGAGTGCGGATTAGAACCCTCAGAAGCAGGGACACGTTTGTGTGCATTTTGAATTGTGATTTCTCTGGAACGAATAGAATCTCTGCAACGGATTGAAGCGCGCGTCCGAGTGAAGACAACACATTTCAGCGCTAGATCGCCTCTTATTTAACAAATGAATTAAACGAATGCTGCTAGTTAACTAGAGATTTTTTATTTGTATTGGTACATCCGTGACGCGAGATGTTTCAAAAGTGGTGGGGACAATATCGACCCTGGCAAAAAGTGGTGGGGACATGTCCCACCCGTCCCCCCCGTAAATGACGCCTATGCCGCTAGGGATCTGTCATGTCACATTTACAAGCGCCAAAACGGTATTTATTGTTTGATTTTCGTAATAAAATTGTCAGAATCTGAGAGCTGAGATTTTTTTAATATCATAAGTAACGTGCTCTGTCTTGTCTGTTTCCGTGTCCTCTCTTTGGTGCGCGATTTTTCTGTGCGTGAGAAAATGGTTGTGTGACGTGAGAGCGCGTGAAAAGTTACAACACACACACACAAGCGCGCTTTCTCTCAGACACACTCACCGACTCACGCACACACTCCTGGATGCTTTGCATTGATGTGGTAGCCTACTTTAGAGTTGACGAACTCCGTTTGTTATAAGTAAATGTTCCAAACAATGATCCAAGCAGCGCGTTCTTGTCTCCCTCCTTTTTACACGAATGGTGGCTACGGCTAGAACGGCTCCGCAAAGGTCAAAACGGAATGGATTAATCTGCGTTATTTTTTTTAACGCGTTATTTCTTCTCAGATTAATTAATCGAAATTAACGCGTTATTTTGACAGCCCTAATTTTTATATAGAATGTTAAAATTGTGACTTTTTGAGGGTGAGCAAAAACGCACCGTTTTTGTGTCTGTCCCTTTAAATGCAAATGAGCTGCAGCTCCCAGTACAGGGGGCGGGGCTACAACAGCTTGTGTCGTGAAAATGTCAAAAACTTTTAGCCTTTTATGTTCAAACCAGAGTCGGACAAAGATGGAGAGACTCAAGAAAAAGTGACAACATGTAGACAACCTTTCTGAATGGTTAGTTGATGAATTTATGTAGCTTTTGTGTAGTTATCTTCTAGTCATTGATTAGCATATTCTGTCATGATAATCTATAAATCGTGTTCCCGGGGGGCGGGGTTTATGTAAATTTTAGGGTTAGTGATGTCACTAACCCGGGAGGAAGGTTGTGTAGTCCCTACCGGCCGTTTGTTGTAGTCCTTAAAAAGTGATTTCTGTAAAAGAAAGTATCTCCCTTTGCGTTGAACTTTGATCGTCGTGACTTTGCAGATGATGTTGTTTATGCTCAAACAGCAACGTTACACATTAACTAAAGTTAAAAAAGTGAAATCATAATCAACTACCCCTTTAAAATTTTAGTAATCACTAAAACTTTATGGGGGAAAATAGAAACCTTATGTGCTCTCAGACTTTTGAACCACACTGTATAATTTTCCAATTTCATGCTATCAGCATCTGGAGATGCAAGAATGACAAGCATAACATTCTGCATCTCATCAAATCATGATGCTGTGTGGAGACATCAATCCCATACAACGAGAGAGAGAGAGAGAAGGAAAGAAAAAGAGAGAAAACGCTGACATTTACTTCCTAGGAACAATATGAAACCAATATAAAGTGACAGAATTAGCTCTTCCATCTCAGCCTCTCCACATCCTCCCCTCTCGCCATTTTACATGCTCCAAAACTGTGACAACATCATGAGAAAGCTCTTGAATTCTGCAAAAACGGTTTTGGACTCTGAAATGGCCCTGAATTCTCGTCAGTAGAGCTGTAAAACCCCTCTGTCGCACAGTCAGTGGTGTGAACTGCCGCCTACTTGCCTGGTCATCTGCAAACCTTATTATGCATTCTTTCCAGATAATACTACCCACAGCTTGAGTATTATGGTCAGTGGGTATGAACAGAAGAGCTATTACTGTACGGCTCATCGGTGGCTGTGAGGAAACAAATGTGTCATTGAGGGTTCAGTAAGAGCTGATGTCTAAACAGTTAGGGGATAGCAGCATGTTGCGTTTGTCTGATGGTGTTTGCCTGTAAAACCATTCGACTTTTCAACTTTGTCTTGACTCATTTATTTAAATTTGATTATGTGACTCTATGGAATACTTGATTCTGATTGGTTAATCACAACATTCTGCAGTCAATTTTTTCTGTAAAATGACACTAGTTGACTACATAGCTTTAGTTTCATGTCTGTAATTGCACTTCATTGCCTTTTTTTTTTTAAAATCATATAATAGTGATTCCCAAACTTTTTTGGTCAACTGAATCCTTTTGACCTAAAATATTTACTTGGAATTCCCCTTGGATTCTAAGTTAATATTTAAATAATTTAACAACACATTCACTTCTGATGTTGGTTGTGGTCATATTATATTCAGTTAAACAAATAAAGTAGTGTTTTATATTAATTGCTTTCATTTAATAGATTGAATTTGTTTAGGTTTTACTTTTATGATTTAATTATTAGCTTTTCATCAGCTCACAAATCCAAGTTTGGAAAACCCTGATATAATATAATAATTTAAACTGCATTCATTTATTTATTAAACAGCCATGTCGGGTTCTTGATCACCCTGTTATCTATTTTTTTGTTCATTATTCCTTAAATATTTAACACTAAAGTGATACAAGTGTACTGTAACATATCCTGTTCTTTAGATTCAAAGTTGTAAACAAATGAAAATATTTACTTGTTTTCCGCTCCATCTGGCAAGACGTCAAGCCTGGCTTTGCTTTGACCCCGCAGTGGTCATCTTTCTCCAAGATGTTAGTACTGTGCCTCTCCAGGGATGTCTTTGCTCCAGTCTTGTCGAGGATAGAGGATGTTGTAGTGGTAGGCCCTCCCCAGCTGTCCCCTCTTCTTGCAGGCTCATGCTTGCACTCCATCCCGGCTGTGCAGCTCCGTCCTCGTGTAAGAGACGCTGTTCTTTCGCTCAGCACCCTCTTAACCGGCACACTTGCCTGGGTGTGACAAAAGCTTTCTTTTTCTCAGCTGGGGCGTAAGTTTGCCTTGTATGAGGTGGTTTTGGAATCCCCTGGCTGTTTTATGCTTCCCGAATTGTGAAGAACCAAGGATCAAAAGCAGGATCAAAGTCAAATTAAAGCTCTACATTTTGCTGGACGTTTTTCTTTACGGTAATCCTTCGGAGTAGACCCGCTACCGCACAGAGATGAGCTGAGGAATACACTTTTGCTTTCAATCCACGCAATATTATTCAAACTCTAACAAGACCTCCCTGGAGGTACTTCTCAATGCACCCTGGACCAGTTCCCATGGAAAAGTGCCAAGAAAATTTCACAACTTGGATTTGCTCTTTTGCAAATGCGGCAAAGGCTGGAAGACTGTTCTATTTGCGTCTGGTTTCGATCTCTTATCCAGATATTTGTCTTTCGTTTTGAGTCAGTCACCAAAACACGTCCCTTGAGTTTATCGCAATCCCCTCCGAGACAGACTGTTTCTTTAAAGGCACACGCGTAGCCCCTGCTTTTAAAACGTTTCAACAATGTCAAGATGAAGGGCAGAGCTTGGTGCTTTCCTGTCGATTCATTAGCACATGAAAAAACACATTCAGCTGAAAGGTCGTCCAAACATTCTGACTGCAGCAATTGTAATCGCTTAACTTTCAAACAAGGCTTTACTGTGCTCAATCCATATATTTGTATTGTAAACAGATGGTTTCTGTAGTTTTCCTTCTTTATCCTTGCATTACTGATCAAATCTCTCTGGGTAGCTTAAGCCAAGCGATATGATCTTTAACCCACCATCAGAGCTGACATATAGTTTATTTGCTTGAGAGAGACTCCTCGAGCAAGTATATGGCATATCCAGACAGGGCTTAATGTCTTAACCTCTAGTTGTGTTAGAGAAATGAAAGGCCACTGGATGAAGCTCCGCTGCTGCCAGGATCCAAGGAGTCAGTGATATGCGACTTCCTGAAACATATAAGATGCAAACTATGAGTCAACGTTTACTATGATACATTCATAAAAATAAAGAATAATATCCTACCAATTACATCCAGATATCCTACTACATTAAACATCTTATAAAGCATTTTCAATCAGAACTAGTTGAGGTGAGAAACATCATAAAGGAAAAATTCCAAATGAATGGAGGGGTATTTCCTCTGGTCCAGTGCACTTGCTATCATTTGTGAAAATGACACCCCACCCATTGTCAAATCAGTGGGAGGAATGAACTGCATTTCCTACATGTTGAAACAATGCATTTTTAATTTTCTTCCTGACTAATATCAAGGAGACAGGAAAATGAAAGGAACATGTGTTGCCCAGTTAGGAGATTTACTTTATAAAACGGCCTGTTAAGGAAGGAAGGTCAATATTTTTCGAAGCTGAAAACATGAAATCTGTGCCATAGCTAAGGAGAACGATCCACAGATTTCCAATTGGAATATTTATTCAATTATAAAGTTTCTAAAGCTAATGTGGCTACAGACTTAAAAAAAAAAAAAAAAGATTTATTGTCGGATTCTAAGCTGTTTAACACTATTTAAATGTGTTTTAGTTCAAGTCAAAACTGTTTGATTACCAACATACTTCAAAATATCTTTTGTGTTTCACAGAAGAAAGAAAGTCATACAGGGTTGGAATGACATGAGGGTGAATAAATGATCACAGAATTTTTTAACTATCCGATTATGAAAATTAAAGTGTGGAGTCACTATATTTTATCATTTGGTTTCATAAAGCCATATGCAATGTCAGCTGTCGGTTTAGTCAATTAAGGAATTTTCGTGTGATAGGAAAGGCTTTGACTCAAACTTGAGTCTATCCATGCTCTCGGACATGCATGCTGAAACAGTGTGTTAATTGGCAATTGTACAAATAGCACATAGTCTAGTCTCAATAGCACTGAATCACCCTGTCAGCTGAGTGTTGTCTCTCTCACATCCTGTTGGCCACAACAAGGCCGGGGGTCATGTGAGGTAATAAGACCCCATTAGTCTTCATCACCCCCTTTCAAACACTGTTTTAACTAATAACACCTATGACAAATGAGCAGTCTTGGAGTGATTAGCTTGACCCCTGTGCGTTTATGTTTAGGAGTTTATGTCACGCCCACTCCAACAGGCGGCTTAAAGTGGCTACAAAGAAGACACCCGCTGTTCAAGCCCTCCCTGCCATCCTCCTCAAATAAAGACAATCAACTCAACACAAACACTCTCGCCCACAAAAGCCTCTCACAAGCTCTCTGCCTTACTCTGCTTTGGACGGAACATAAAGAGCAGTTGCTTTGTTTTGTAATGCATTACACTGAGTAATGTGACCTCTGACGACACATGATAGATACTAATGTTATACATTATAGAAACTAATGCTGTACAGACTGCGTACAAATACCGATACAGATAAATACACTGGCAGATAAAATGACTTACAGATCTGATTTCATACTAGCCATTTAACTATTTTCTTTTAATAAAAAAAACTCTGTTAAAATCTGTGTTAATATTAATATCTAAAGTTTTATATATATATATATATATATATATATACACTGTATATACACACACACGGTTCAAAATGTTGGAGTCAGTAAAATTTTCTTTTTTTATTACTTTTATAATACTTTAATTTATAGTAGCAATGATCCATTGAAATGATCAAAAGTGACAGTAAAAACAGTTGTTACAAAATATTTTTATTTCAAATAAATGCTGTTTCTATTCACTCCTGGATCCTGGAGAAAAAAAAAAGTCAGTTTCCACAGAAATATTAAGCAGCACAACTGTTTTCAACATCGATGATAATAATAAATGTTTTTTGATCAGCAAACATATCAATGATTTCTGAAGGATCATGTGACACTGAAGACTAGAGTAATGATGCTGAAAATTCAGCTTTGATCACAGCAATAAATTACATTTTTAAATATATTCAAATAGATTTTTTTAAAATTGTAATAATCTGCCTAATATTATTGTTCTTACTGCATTTTTTATCAAATAAATGCATCCTTGGTGAAAATAAAAGATTTCTTTCAAAAACATTAAAAATGTCTCGTCACTTACATCAGGAAAGCTCTCGGGTATCATTTTCAACATTCAATTTAATCCATTACGGTTGCTTATCCACTTAACAGCTAATTAGCAATCAACTATTTATTCTACTCACCAAATCACCTTGAAGGCTAAAAGCTGATTGAAAGAAAGTTGAACGCTAAAGGTAAATCTCAAGGATTTGCAGGGAAAAAAGTCAGCTTAATGATAAATCTTAATCTCTCTTTAAGTGTCAAAGTAATGCTTATCTTATCCGATTTCACTTTCCAGGTATTTACATTAGACCATTGACTTACCAGCCTTCCGGCTCCCTCACATACAGTATCATGATTTGCCATCATTTGATTCATGTCTCATTCCAATCCAATGAGGGCTTCTTGTTCTCATACACCATTCTAATGAACCCGATTGAGCTCGACCCAACACATTCCATGTGTTATCAGTCCTGAGGCACCGAATACAGGTACTGAGAGATAGTATTTGTGTGTGTTTTGGGCTGTATCCGTTACAGTGCATAATATGAGCAGTAATAGTGTACGAAACGGTGTCTGACACAGCGTTTTGATAGACCTCCGGGGCCCGACAGGTCTCTCTAATCTCCCAGATCCATTACAGCACTCCAGGGCCGGATCCTTCAACCGTACGCCACACTACAATGCAGAGACCTGCACATCATCTCGGCTTCTTTCGTACAAAGGCCTATTGAAGCACCTGTAAGTGGCTTGAAAAAATAATTTGGGGGTTGCACTCTACATTTGGCATTCTTTGAGAGTAATTCTCAGCAGATAGCCAGCATGCCTTGGCTTGCACAGGTTGATGACAGACAGCAAAAACACCATTAGTTATAAACTTCAATGAGGCTCAGAGATATGGTGCCTGCTTCATAAGGGTACTAAGTATATAGCAGCCAGGCACATATATAAATTATGCGTTCAATAGCAAAGTCTGCAGAGAATCACTAAGAAAGAAGACAAAAAATAAAACCAAAACTGCAAATACTGCATTAGCGTTTCAATTCAATTTGAATGACTTATATACTTCATTAAAGATCTATAAATCACTAAACTCTTCCAGCAGATCCAAATAGCAGATAACACTTTAGTACCATTTAAAAGCTGCGACTTAATAAGTCTAGCAAATTAAGACGGCAAATAAAAGTTCAGATCAGATAAAGGTCAGTGACAGATGCTCAGCACGAAGTCTCCGCTAAACAGAACCCCTGCCTAATGTATAAGTCATTACTGTCGCTAAGAAACTCCAGCACCGGATATTCGTTCTACTGTTACAGCATGCTGCTCACATTTATCATCACAAGAACCACACACAGGCAAGACAAAAGACAGCCAAACAGGGAACACATAAAGCCCATCGCCGGTGAAATGATCCCTCCACCAGGAGGAGAAACAAGTTAACTTCCTCAATTAATTCAACCCAAATATTTACAAAGATCGACTTCCTCCCGGTTGTAGCTGGCTACCTCATGCAGTAGGTTCTTGAAGGTTGTAGTCTGCGATTCAACAGGTGATAAAGCTCTTCACTGATAACACCAGGAGAAACTCAATGAAAGGCTCTGGAGCTGATGCTAGACTCACCTGTACTCCCAAGTGCTTCGGTGTGTATGTAATGGCTAGTTGTACAGCCCTTTTTCAGGTCCTCCTTGTGTTCACCTCCCCCTTGTCTCACATGCAGTTACGCTCTCGTTCTCTCTCTCTCTCTCTCTCTCTCTCGCAGACAGAAAGAAGGGAAAAGGGGGAGTGGACGAGCAGGAGTTGGAACACAGAGAGTTCTTTGTCTGCCTTTTTCATATGGTTTCCTTCAAGCATGCATACTGAACACATTATACCATTATATATTTTCATATTTAAAGTAGGGGTCTTTGCTCTTTGCTCTTTGTCCCGCTCAGATTTTTACACTGATTGGAGGAATAAAACGTACGCAGCGTATGCATGCACTAAAAACGATATACGAGTGCTTGTTTCTGATTGCTATGAGTTATAAAAAGTAACCAGTGTCGAGTGTTTTCTCTAGAGGATAATAAAGTGAAACACAAAAGGACCATGAAGATTGGTTTCACAGACATGGAGAGCCCTTGCGATGATTCTTGAGCTGCATGTTGAAGCAAAGTAAGACACTTAAAGTCTCAAAGGGATGGAATCTAAAGCCCACTGATCTTCCAACAGTGATGTCTGTCTGAGAAAAGACATGCGAGATGGAAAACAATGCATCTATATAGCAGGACATACTATGGTTAGATTACAGGAAGATTTCAGAACATGTTTAAGGGTTATTTTAGCGAAAATGATCTTTCTGATATCTCAATGTTGTGTGCAACTGTGTAAACTAAGCTCTGATCATCTCTTAGTGTTTTCTCACAGTTGAAAAACACTCACAGCTAATAGTTCTTGTCTGAAACACTGAGCTCTTTTATAGATCCATCAAATATTTACTTCTGTTTTGAAATGTCATACCTGGGTGATATTTGAGGCCTCCAGCCATATTCAGACCACCATCTCGGTCGTACACAGAAAAAGGGCGTTTGTCAGCAAAAAATGGGTTGTGACTTGTACCTATGATAAGAAGTTCACAGTAATAATAGTGATTATTTTATTAACCTGTTAACTGTCACCCCCCTTTTTTTTGCATAGACATAAAAATCACTATCCAAACTTAAATGGTTGTAATTCAGGAATGCTTTGGAATATTGACCTATGGCTGGTCTTGTTTTAAAGAAGACATTTTGCAGATTATTGTAGAAGTCTAGAAATTATAAAAAAATGAAACAGAAAAAAAGTTATATACGTTTGAGTTTATGAAATTGTGTAATGTAAAAATATAATTATTAATATTTTATATAAAATATATACACTCACCGGCCACTTTATTAGGTACCCCATGCTAGTAACGGGTTGGACCCCCTTTTGCCTTCAGAACTGCCTCAATTCTTCGTGGCATAGATTCAACAAGGTGCTGGAAGCATTCCTCAGGGAGTTTGGTCCATATTGACATGATGGCATCACACAGTTGCCGCAGATTTGTCGGCTGCACATCCATGATGCGAATCTCCCGTTCCACCACATCCCAAAGATGCTCTATTGGGTTGAGATCTGGTGACTGTGAAGGCCATTTTAGTACAGTGAACTCATTGTCATGTTCAAGAAACCAATTTGAAATGATTAGAGCTTTGTGACATGGTGGAAGTAGCCATCAGAGGATGGGTACATGGTGGCCATAAAGGGATGGACATGGTCAGAAACAATGCTCAGGTAGGCCGTGGCATTTAAACGATGCCCAATTGGCACTAAGGGGCCTAAAGTGTGCCAGGAAAACATCCCCCACACCATTACACCACCACCACCAGCCTGCACAGTGGTAACAAGGCATGATGGTTCCATGTTCTCATTCTGTTTACGCCAAATTCTGACTCTAACATCTGAATGTCTCAACAGAAATCGAGACTCATCAGACCAGGCAACATTTTTCCAGTCTTCAACTGTTCAATTTTGGTGAGCTCTTGCAAATTGTAGCCTCTTTTTCCTATTTGTAGTGGAGATGAGTGGTACCCGGTGGAGTCTTCTGCTGTTGTAGCCCATCCGCCTCAAGGTTGTGCGTGTTGTGGCTTCACAAATGCTTTGCTGCATACCTCGGTTGTAACGAGTGGTTATTTCAGTCACTGTTGCCCTTCTATCAGCTCGAACCAGTCTGGCCATTCTCCTCTGACCTCTGGCATCAACAAGGCATTTCCGCCCACAGAACTGCCGCTCACTGGATGTTTTTTCTTTTTCGGACCATTCTCTGTAAACCCTAGAGATGGTTGTGCGTGAAAATCCCAGTAGATTAGCAGTTTCTGAAATACTCAGACCAGCCCTTCTGGCACCAACAATCATGCCACGTTCAAAGTCACTCAAATCAACTTTCTTCCCCATACTGATGCTCGGTTTGAACTGCAGGAGATTGTCTTGACCATGTCTACATGCCTAAATGCACTGAGTTGCCGCCATGTGATTGGCTGCTTAGAAATTAAGTGTTAACGAGCAGTTGGACAGGTGTACCTAATAAAGTGGCCGGTGAGTGTATATTACAAAATATATTTTACTCTAAAACTGCAAGAAAATTAAAGACAAAAATCTGAACAAGTTGTATTCCAAATTTTAGGTTGATATCTAAAAAAATGAGCTTTCAGTAAGATTTTATTTGGGCGCAAATAAAATTTTACCCAACTTTTTCACTAGACTCCATTACTGCCCATATAAGGGCGCCTCCATTTTCATATATGTTTTGAGTGATCTGAACCATGTATTTCCATAATTTTCATACAATTTATGAAGTAGACATCCTATTCAGAAGTAGTATGGGTGGTTTGGCAGTATTTGATTTGAATTCAACCTCTAATAAATGCATAAAAAGACTATGTTATAGCGTTATAGCTCGCAGCCAATCAGAAATCGAGAATCCATACATTTTTCTTTATATTTAAAACATTTTCAGACCTTTTTTTCTCATAAAATGGAATTGGTGTTATCTTTTGAACTCATGGCATGAAAACAAACTGAGGTTCCTACCAATCTTTCATGATTTTTCGTGTTTATTGTTATTTCAAAATAAAGGCCTAAATACTCCTAACGCCGGCGGGCCCATGAAATCAGCATATCATGTAATTAATTCAATTGATGTATTTGGTTTATTGAGAGCCCTATAATTTTAATTCACATTTCAGAAATAACTTTACATTTAGCTCTGAGGCTACAATGTGCAATTAATAAAAATGATATGACTTGTCAACCTTTAGAGTGAGTCCAAATAAATGGAGTTCAAGCAGTATATAGGGGGGAAACTAATATAGATTAGTGTAATTTAACCAGCAGAATGCTAATCCTAATTTAGCTACTTCAATTCTTGCACATCCTAGGAAGAAAGTCAGTTTGTATACTGTCCATCCTAAAGCATCATAGTGCATTAAAATAGCGTGTCAATGATTTTCAAATCATGCATCAGTGCTTGCAAAGACAAAGAGGTGCACACCAGCATGATTGTCAACCCTCCAGTGTAAAGCTGGCTGTTTCTTTCTTTCCTTTCTTCGACTTCTCCATTCTATTCGTCCCGCCTTTGCAAACATTTTTTTACCAACGCCCTTTTTACAGCTGGTCAGCCTGTCATTGCGTTTCTTCTCTCACCAGTCTAGCGTGACTTTCTCAAAGGGCAGCTGTGTCTGTGTGTCTAGAAGTGTGTGTGCATGCCCTACTGTAGCAAATGTGTTCATGTGTGGCTGAACAAACCAGTGGAGGAAATGTTAGAACACATTCCATCAAATCTGGGCTTTTCTTCTAAAAGTGTGTGGAATTTCCTAAGTGTTCTGGTTTACATTCTCCTCCTTTGAGTCTGTCTGTTACTGACAGAGGGCCAGAGCAGTCGTCTGATTGGAGTCATACGTATAGCCTGCAAGTGAACCTCTCCGTCCCCCTTTTCCTGGAGACCACCAAAACCCTGTTGAGAGATGAAACTGAATCCATCAGAGTTAAAAAAAAATGTTTGATTATGCTCCACCGGCAATTGCAAAAGCCCCACGGGTGTCCAGGACTTCAAGGAGGTCAATGACAACAATGTTATCCAGATATCCTAGGCTCACGTAGCCAGACTACGTGACTAAACAGCAAAAGGTCTCGTCCACATTCCAGCTTACAGCCACAAACTCTTCATGACATTTAAGAGTTGATTGATCTGAAACTCTATAAAAATGGACTAAATAAATAGCAGTGATCCGAAGTCAAAGTGGTGTTTGTGGTGCCTCAAACAATATTCAACATAAATATAGAATATGCTGTATATATCAATGATTTGATGAAACTAACCTGGCAAACATTGGGGTAAATGGTGATCTTCAGAGGTAAAAAAGGATGTTGCATGAAGTCAGCCAATCAGGTTACAGTTTACAGCTTATCAGTGTCTCACGTAGCCAGACCTTTAGACTGACCGCAGAAGGTCTGGACTCTATCGCAGCTTTTCTTGGCCAAGGACCGCCCAAGAGGATGTTTGACTGACATGTTACGCAACCAATCACAGTTCGTTTTGTTCCTCGTCATGTTCAGAGGCGTGAAAATATAAGGTTGAAGTCCCTACTGTCACATACACACAGTTTGGACTTTGTTTTCAGTTTTCTCTGTTCCCCTTACTTTGTTGTCATGGTTATAACTTGATTAGTCATTTAGTTCTGCTTTGTTCACCCATTATCACTAGTATTTAAGTTCTCTCTGTTTCTGTTCAGGTTCTCTTGCCTTGTCAATGCTTTGTGGATGTTAGAGCTTTGTTACCTAAGAGTATTATTAAAAGTACTATTGATCCTTCATCTTCGTCTTCGTGTTTGCTACAAACCGTGACACCTACAATAACAGACCGGCGTGCATCTAATAAATTATTTATTCAAGAACGTTGTGCAAGTTTACTGCAACAATGAAGCCACGAACGTCACATACTTTTGAAAATCCAGCGTTTAGTTGATCCTGGTAGGCGCTCATTGTCACAGTTATAAACACAACGCCGTTCTTCTTCCACGAGGGGTTTTTAACGTCACGGCATTTGTTTCCTGGCCGACCGTTACAGAACGCAACACACACATGTCACCCGGACATCCTGCAGAATTCAACCAATCAGATCACAACTTTGAAACTCCTGAAGTGTTTCCAGAAAAGTGTGCCATATGTATCAGATGTTCAGCCAACAGTCCGTCTGAGGCTGA